CATGGAACGGAGGAGTATTAATTTAATCCTTTTTATCCTGTGTAATTAAAAATTTCGTCTTCCATATAAATTAATTGTTGCAAAACCGAAAGAAGAAAAAACATGAAGCAAAGCGTATTTATTGATGCAAAACTCGAGAATCAATGAATTTTGTAATGAAATTTGTTCGAGGAACCGATTTATCTTTGGCAAAAAGATCCGCAAGTGTTGACCAAAAAGAACAAAAAAATGACCTTTTAAAGGACAAATTCACAGACACTTCAAGTAAGTGGTATGCATTGTATTTGGATTGTCTCTCGTGGATTTCGAATGTAGTAGGGACTTTTCCAAGTGTAACAAAGAGTTCAACATAGAAAGCTAAAGAGAAAGATTGTGTCTCGTCTTACTTACCAAACTTGGTATATTATGAGAAAAACCGATTCTATTGTGACTTTCTTTGAGCATATATATGTACCAGACCGTGGATGAGATTGGTTATGGTACGGCTTCAAGTGTTGACTGAAAGATTGACTAAACCGGGTTTTGAACATGTTGGTGATTACTGTTTGAACGAATTGAGTCCGGTTTTGGTGAGACTTGAAGAATGCAAGGAGAGTTTTGAGTGGAGAATTTTTGTTGTTTGGTTGAGAAATTGAAGGGCGAGACGGTTAAGGATGATGAAGAGATGGTTGAATTGGCCGGTTCGTCTCAGAACGAATGGGTGCATATTCGACGATTCTGAGATGGAAACAAATGAGGTGGTGAAATGGGATTCCGAATGGGTAACAGTTGATGACTCCAAGGGGTTGATAAATTATAAATGAGCCGGTCTGGTTTAGCTTGTGTACATAACAATTTTTTTTTTAATGATTAGTTCCTTATCCATAAAGAAAAAGAAGTGATTCCGTATGTAAATAACATCTTAAGAAACAAAATTGTGAAGTGAAAAGTGTGCTTAATTCATTTTTCATTGAGAAATACAAACACAAATATACAACACCGATCTACTTGTTGCCCATTTCAATCAATTTAATCATCTGAGGTTGAAATGATATAGTATGCATGTTTCACTAAACACAACCTAACTTTATGGAATGTGTACTCCAAATCTATTTTATTTTACAATTGAATACAATCTTCAATTTCTTACTTCCAAGCCGGACCACTTATTTACGCGCATGCTTGCTTTTTGTGCCTAAAAAAAAGAAATATATATACAAGGAAACATTTGAATTAATGACAAACCTGAAAAACTATATATATATATATACGCAAACCATAAACAACAAACAAAGTTACCTCTTTTTCCCAATCACATCTCATAGTAATAAGAACCAACATCAATGTTTGTATAGCGGTTCCGCCAAATATCATACCAGCCCACATGCCCTATTCAGCATATAATCACAATAGACATACATTTATATAGAGAGATTAATCTTCAAATATTGATATAACGTAATCAAGAAAACTAGTTTCTACCTTAATACCAGACTTGAAAACCCATCCCATGACAAATCCAAGTGGAAGTCCAATGAAATAATAGCATCCTAAGTTTATGTATGCCACGAATGATTGCCAACCCGAACCAACCGCAACACCTAATCAAAAGTCAAAAAGTCAACACACCCATTGTTGACCCGGTTTATTTATCGGGCAAACAAAATTTGTGTGGCGTACCAGATAGAACCGGCTGGATACTGTTGAGAAGAATGGTAAAGGCTAAAAGAATAGAGAGATGATTGACTGCTTCTATGACGGTTTCACTTGAAGAGAAAATCCAACCGATTTGATCATGAAAAANTACAATGAGAACCGAGAAGATTATTCCAATGGCTAAGGATTGTGTTACTGATACGATCATTGCAAATCTTGCTCCTTTTCCGTTGCCTGCTCCTAATTCATTCGCCACTCGGACACTACGTAAACGTTTGTTTTATAAGCCATGAACAAGTTAGTTCAACCAGGACTAACCGGTTTTTAGATCATGAGTTATAGTAATATAAATCAAACCAAACCAAAATTTAAAGTATCTATACTAATATATATTAAGTGAGAAGACATGAGTGAAGAAAAAAAATTATGTGTCGATGAAAGAGAAATTTAATGGACACATTAATTAAATTAGCTAATCAAAACATTCCAATTAAAACTATATGGCTTGATATCAATTTCTACATATTCTCGTTAATTCTCTATATATTAATAGAGGAGACACTAAGTGAAAATCATGTGTATCATCCAAAGAGGGTTTTAAGGAACTTTTAAGGAAAGCAATTAAAATTATTAAAAAATATTATTGTGTAAATAATTAGACTAAATTTATATCACATATAAAATATATAATTATTAAACAAATATGGAAGCAAATAATATGTGGTAATTAATATGGAAGATTTTATTTAATTGACATAAAGTATATGTGAGAATATATATTTTTTTCAATGACTATTAGATTTTGTTTTACATACGTTAAATACGGGATTAGTATATTCAAAAAAAAATTCATGATTTTTTATATACAGAAAAAATTAAAAATAACAAAG